TGGGTGAAACCGTGAAACGCTATGCAGTGTGCGGCAGCTGTGTGTGCTCTTATTGCTGTACGTCGATGAAATGAAGAAGCAGACAATGCACATGAATTGAAGGTCAGAGCCGAGTTCGACTTGTGCAAACTATGATAGGCTATGTTGCTGATTCAACATCTGGGATCAGATGATAGCCGTTATGTAACGACACTTGGCGCTTCTTTGAGGCTTCCGGGAGAGAAAAGAATGTGGCTTGTTGTCAAGGAAAGAGAAGACACAATATATGTTCGAAGTGGTTTGCCATGGTTGATTCAGGCTGCGTGGATTTATTTGAAACTATTTTGCAATTGTGTTTTTTCTTGACATTGGTTCAGTGCAGATACAATAAAATAAACACTCAAGCAGAAGCCAAATAAAAGCTTTTTCTTTCCCATTTGATATTCAGAAAAAAAAAAGAAGTATTGCTGGCATTGTTCGCAGCAGCTGCAGGCTTCGATTCCTCTGCCGCAACAGTTATCGCCTGCGCTAGTGCCACATGTCCTGCGGCTGTCATCGAAGCCCCATGCCTGGCCACCGCAATGCCGTTGGTCTTGGTTGCTTCATTGTTGCTGTTGCTGTTGTTTGTCACGTAACCCAAGCCATGTTTTATTTCCTGTCGTCGGGAGGTTTTGTGGGTTTTTTTTTTTTGGGTTCTTTGTGTTTGTGTGAGACTTTCTTGGACTTCGTTCATTTATTGAAAGCCAGAGTCCAATGATGTTGCGATGTTGTGTAAAATGGAAATAAAAAGAGAATGCAATGATTTGGGCGGCCCAGTGGTCCGGTGGTTAGCGCGTTGATCTCACAGTGCAGAGGAACCGGGTTCCATTCCAGCTCCGGTCTTCCTGTGTGGAGTTTGCATGTTCTGCGTGGGTTTTCTCCGGGTAGTCCGGTTTCCTCCCACATTCCAAAAACATGCATGGCAGGCTGATTGAACACTCTAAATTGTCCCTAGGTGTGAGTGTGAGCATGGATGGTTGTTTGTCTTTGTGTGCCCTGCGATTGGCTGGCAACCGGTTCAGGGTGTCCCTCACCTACTGTGACCCTTGTGAGGATAAAGCGGATCAGAAAATGGATGGATGGATGCAATCATTTGCAAACCCTTCCGATATTCCTTGAATACACCGCAGAGACAAGCTATTTTATCTTCAAACTTTTTATTTTTTGCAAATATCCACTCAGCTTGAATTTGAAAAAAAAGCTGGGACAAGGAGGAGCACGTTTACCACCATGACATGCAGTAAATATTTGGGTTAAGGTCAAAATTTTGGTGTCTGACCCACTTACATGCGTGACTGGACAGAATAACTCCCATATTGTGGTTAAGTATGTTCAATTTCAATATCCCCATCCAAATCGCGATGCACAGTCAACTTCAGGACGCAGTAGAGGTCATTTCTGTTTCTTACTTTCTTCTGTCAATAAAAGACATCATACACTGTGAGGCCCGACGTGCTAACCAGTCGACCACCGGGCCGCCTGCTCCAGATGTGTTGAATTAAATCCTCCTGTTGCATCCTTGCCTGCGCCTTCCCATAAATCTACATGATCTATACGAAGGGCGGACATCACAGAGGCTCACACGACTTTCTTTGACTGCGACGTCTCTTTGAGTTTGACACAATGACTCGGTGAAACATGCATCACAGCAAACCAAAAAAAGGCCTTCTAATGCACTGAGGGCCCTCCCGGGGGGGGGTGGGGGGCAAGGATGAAGGACGAGCAGAAATAGCCATGCAAATTTGCCATGTGGTCCAAATTGTGCATTGACATTCCTCAGTTTCCAGCTTTATGTTCCTTATGCAGCTTATGCGAAACAGTTTCTTTCTGCAATGGCTAAGTATTGAACCGCTTTTCTCACAAAATATATTCCCAAAGTGTCACGTTTTGCGGGGTGGTGGTGGACCCCAAAAAGCAGGCAGGAGGGGGGAGCAGGGTGTATTTGAAGAAGTGTATTGATAAAACACAGAAAACTAAATCCTAAACAAACAAAGTCCTAACAACAAAAGGAATCCAAAGTATCAAACAAAAACCATGACTGAAGCTCAAAACCATAAATAACAGAAACATGACCTAAACATGACAAACAAACAAACCTGACAGCAGCAAAGAGCAACAATGACCCAAAAATGAGTGTTCGGGCGGGAGTCCTTTTATAGAACTAATTACCTAACGACCAACAGGTGTGCAGCCGCAGGGGGAGCTCTACAGTGCCACCTGTTGGTTCCAAACCAAATCATGACACAAAGTTGCTCATACTCACACGAGGTACAATTTAGAGTGTTCCATCAGCCTGCCATGCCTTGTCTTTGGAATGTGGGAGGAAACCGGATTACTCGGAGAAAACCCACACAGGAAGACCGGAGCTGGGATCGAATCCACGACCTCTTCACTGTGAGGTCGACGTGCTAACCATTGGTCCACCGGGTCGTCTAAACATATTCCAGTTCGTAGTATTAAAGCAGTCCTGGATTACAACATCGGTTTCTTCAGTCCATTTTTCCTTGTTTCACACCGAACTGCCGTCAGGTTGATTTTATACCCGTTTATCTTTTTGTACTGCGATGCAGATTGTTTTCCTTCCATGAATAAGGCATGAGACAATACTGATTCCACTTTTTTTACGATTGGGGTAGAATTGTCCTCCCAAATGCAGGCAAACTGCTATTTACCGTCCCGCAATTACAGGAAAATGACATGTGTGTACATTTTACACCGCTGCACTGCTTACTTAAGGGTATGTGGTCAGAACATATCTGGCACATATACAGTGCAGTATTCAGAAGAGAACGACCTTTTTTTTTTCATTCATTTTCCTTTTCCACAACATATGATATGTTATATATGTCTTGGTAAAAAAAAAAAAAAAAAAAAAATAGCTGCTCATCTCAACTTTGTTTTCCCATGTATTTCCACAAATATAAAACAGACAATGTAGCAATTGATCCATTTACTGTACCACCTAAATGTAATTCGGTCGAGTTTCCTGACTGGTTGAATGCGCAGGAACATGTGAATAAAATAGCTTCAGTCCGCCATTAGCTTCCACTCTGGCACCAATTTCAAAATTCCACAGGCAGCTGAAAAATTGCTACCTAGTGCTTGAGGTACTGACCAGGCCGTGAAAGAAATGGCCCATCCAGTCTTTGCTTATTTTCCTCAAAACAACTCTGACAACAAAGGAAACTGCCCAGCTAAACTTAAAGAAAAGAATGTCTTTTTCTTCGCATTCCCGATTGCTACTTACCCCTCCCTTCAGCTGCGATGTGTAATTTAGCATTTGGACCACAAATTCACTGAGATTTTAGAGGGAGAAAACCCCCCCCCAAAAAACTAATTGTAATGCCTTCAAAGTGGGATTTTGTTCCATCCATCTATTTTCGGAACCGCTTTATCTCGCGGGGCGTGCTGGAGCCTATCCCAGCCATCTTCGGGCAGTCGGCGGGGGACACCCTGAACCGGTTGCCAGCCAATCGCAGGGTTCACAGAGACGAACAACCATCCACGCTCACACTCACACATTGGGACAATTTAGAGTGTTCACTCAGCTTGCCAATGCCAATGAGTTTTCAATCAGCCTACCATGCAAGTTTTTGGAATGTGGGAGGAAACCGGATGTAGGAGGAAACTGGAATACCCGGAGAAAACCCACGCAGGCGCGGGGAGAACATGCGACTCCACACAGTGAGGCCGGAGCCGGGATGGAACCCATGACCTCTGCACTGTGAGGTCGACGCGCTAACCACTGGGCCACCGGTCCGCCCCGGGATTTTGTTATTTTTCAAAATTCATCTCAATGCTTAGTTCGTTGTCATTTTATTGTCAATGCAATTTGGCTTGAAGAAACAATATAGCATCTTTTTAGCAATGCATCTGTTCTCTGCAGATCTAAACATGAAATCTTTACAAAGCTTTATTTATAAGGCCATATTTGACACAAGGGCACGTTATAAATACGTATTTGAATCTAATGTACACTTTCTCGACAGAAAATATTTCATGGTCATCGAACATTAACTTCACTCCTGTGAAACTCTGTCTCACACACACATGCGCACGCACGCATGCACGCACACACACACACACACACACGCACACACACACACACGCACGCACACACACACACACACACACACACACACACACACACACACACACACACACACACACACACACACACACACACACAAGGCGGTTGGAAGCAAAAGGTGTCCAAGGACAAAGGTAACTTTTGAGGCAAGAAAATGTAATATTTTCCAAGTTTTCCAGTTGTCCATTAACCCAGGGATATGATTTCAGGCCGGGCTGAACCAGGATTATACACGACTCTGTGTCATTGCTGATTACCAGACAATAAAGCAAACAGTTTCAAGATAAATAGATTCTGATTTGTAGATGAACACCCGTCGACTTCAGTCGGCCAACAAGAGTAAGTCAACATTTGTAGAGAGCCGTTTAAACTCATTGCCACGGTGAACCCAAATTCCCTCCTTTATGGGCGATAACGTTGGCGGACCAGCCAGGTCATTTTACATGTCCGTGTGCGATTTTACACACAAATTTTATCGGCTCATTTTGGTGTATTTTAAGATATATATGATTTTGATTTTGTGGGTGGCTCGAAATCTTTACCTCGTGAACATATTTTTGTCACTTAAAATCATTGTTTACCACTATTTACCACTTTGCTTGAAAGGTATTCCAGTCCCTCATAACTGGGGGCAGATTTCTGAAGCCCCACCCAAAATTTCTGAGTTTATCCTATCAAGCAAAAGAACAAGGTGCAATTTTAAAACTCGACATATCACAGATTTTTTTTTTCTTCTTTAACAACAGCAAAGGTCTGCACATGACCGGATGTTTTAAATTAGCAGCAACAGGGCTAATCTGTAACCGTGTGTTGAATCGTCCCTTCCGTCCTGGACTTGAGTTATTTTGGAAGATGTAAAAGGAAAGCAGAGTCAACAAAATTGCCACAAAAATATTAGAAATCATTTATTTCATTTGAAATATAAAATATTAAATCTGTCATGAAATCAAACTGTTGTTAAGTCGTGTGAATAATATAGGGATTTGATTTCACCAGAGAAGATCCAAGTTTGTTTGGCACGCTCAACAATGTGTCCATTGGCAAGTTACTGTACGACTTCTTTCACATCTGTGACAGGATAAATTAAAGGGACATGAACGTTTTACGAAATGGCTCACTTCTAACAGAGCCAATTAATAATTGTGAACTGAAACACAGACACAAAAACCAGCACCCACATTTGATTCGTTTGCCATAAATGACAAAAAAGTCAGAGAGTCGACATTGAGACCAGATGAGGCAACGAAGGCATTGCTGAGATCTGAATCGAGATTGACCACAATACAACAACAACACGGCAGTTCTCAAAATATTCAGGGAGGGCAGACAACCAAAAATGTCTTGCATGCCGCTGCAAATTATACAGTGTCATGATTTCAGCGGAAAGCATTATCCGTATACAATGTTCTTATTTTCATATTAATTTCAACCAGGAAACGTATTCCGAACTCAAAGGAATGTCGATGCGGCGTTTACTCTTCCGTGTATGGAATAAGAAGCAGAAAAGAAGCAGCAGTGTGTCACCCGCAACATCTTCACTGACTAGCAAAGAGCTAAACTGCGGCGTCTTGGATCTGACGTTTGAGGACACCATCAATTTGAAGTTGAGACTGTGCCGAAACGGAACATGTTCAGATGTGACAGATTTCGGCACAGTCACACCTCTGGCGATCGACTGATAAATATAATGGAATAGCCATGCTTCGATATTGACCTCTTATTATGAATACAACCAGTCGAAAGCTGTGATTGTTACATTGCCAAAAAAGAAAGATATGCTAGGTACCTCAGTTTGTAAGCTATCATTCAAAATCAACTGGTTTCTTGCTTCGAAGTGGACAAAGGATTCGAGTTTCAGGAAAATAAGGGTGGAGGGTATGACTGGTATGCTGCCAAAATTAAAAAAACGCTTGTCCCGGATACCTTTGGGGAAAGATATTCAAAATCACTATTAAACATGTGAAAAAAAGTGGTGGGAATATGTTACTGGTATGCTGTTGAGAAGAAACACAAACAAACAACCTCCGAGGTTGTCTGTACAATATTGTTGAACATTGTTAGGGTTCTCGCTTTGACTTTGACCTGGAATTCCAGTTTGAGGACGACCCGGTTGAGAGTTGTGACCAGTCGAGTGTCGAAATGTTGCATGTTTCCAAATGCGTCATACATGTAAAAAAGGCTGAAAATATGAAAAACTAAAACTAAGCAGTGCTCAACTGGGGCATTTAACTGATATTGACCATTTCAGTTTTCCGGATTATTTTGGCCTTGGCTACAACAGGAATCAGTAGCTTGGATGCCACATTCATTGACCCACCCACCACCTGCTTTAATCCATTTCAGCGGATATATGGCACATTGGCAACATGCAGTTAGCTAGTAAGCTATACCTACACCCCCAAAAATACATCCTGGTTGTCACAGCGTGGAAACACCCCGTGACAACGACCTGTGCCAACTTCGTGGGATATATTCTTTCCACCAGAGGCTTCGAGCATCTATATTTTCACGGTTCGTGAAGTTATGTGTAAGCATAGGAAGGATACTGGAGGAAGTAGCTTCCATTTTCACAGGTCATAGTTCTCGTATTTGATTGACAGTTCACAGTTGAGTGGGGCGTGATTTCAGCAAATTCAGTGGTCCACAGCATTCGAGAGCGGAGGCAAGAGCTTGACTTCTTTCAAAAACGTTATTTTGAACGATTTTGAAGCCTCATTTTAAATACTTGGCCATTTTTTAATCATTTACATTTGTCGAGGCTGTTGCCAACACTCTTCTCTGTGGTGGGTCAATCCAGAAGACATTGACTTTTACTTAACAGGCAAAGGTTGTAGCGTGTGTAGGGTTGCAGCTTTGACATAGACCAGCAATAACAGTTTGAATTGGTTCCAACAATGTCTGGAAGAGATTATTCCAAACCAATTGCTTGGTTGTTTTGACTTGAGCGTTAGAAGCTCAGTTATGAAGCACGGGCTAAAAGCTTGACTCGAATCAAATCCAGAGTAGTCCCTTTTCTTGGCAGGGGACTAATTAAACCAAGGCCACCATTATTCACAAAGCACAACAATAAAATGTCCAGCACATTAAAATATAACAACTGTTTTGCTTGATCCTGTGTGGCAACATTAGGCTCCAAAAGGCATCAAAGAATCACTTCATTTTTTTCATACGATGCAACTTTTGTAGGCTCTTTGGACACAAAAATATAAAAATACTCTGAATACCATAATGCTATTCCATTTTGATTAGTTCCAAAAGCGAGTGAGACAAAATAAAGTTGTCCTGTACAAGAAGCTTATTCCACTTGTGAGGGTTGTGTCAAGTAACATTTGTGTCGACCTTATACAGTCATTTCATTGCCACCCATTACATGATCACAGTACGTACGTCACATGCGCATTTTAACACGCAAGTCCAACCCCATGTCCTCCTCTGTTCTGTCCTTCATCACATGCGCCCGCCCCTCGCTTTAGTGTCAGTCTTTCAGAGCGGGGTCAAAGGGGTCAGTTTGCAGAGCGCCCTGTCCTGTTGCTTCGTGGAAAACGGTGGACTTTGAGGTGTTTTGACAGGTGATCGCTGCGGGCAAACTTCTTCTCGCAGACAATGCACTGATATGGTTTTACTCCGGAGTGGGAGCGCCGGTGTCGGGACAGCTCATCCGATCGGGAGAACCTGCCGGAATAAGATTTAGGACATCTTAGTGCATTTCTTTTAATAAGGATGACTAGATATTTTCGATAATATTTCACCAGCCTCCTTTGGTGCGCAACCTTTACAGTCATATCATATCATATGTTGAGAATGAAACAAAACAAAAAAAAAACAGGATGCAGTAAATCCAGGACCCGCTGCTTCAAATAATGTAGAATTGCCCAACCTTGATTGAGTCAAAGCTCTCTTTTTACATTGGAAAATTATTCACACCCACACACACCCACACCCACACACACATTCACAGTCACACTTATGGACAATTCTAGCATTTTCAATTAACCTACTGTGCATGTTTTTGGAATGTGGGAGGAAACCGGAGCACCCGAAGAAAACCCACACAAGCACAGGAAGAACATGCAACCCTCACACAGGAATGCTGGAGCTTGTACTGCAATTTTCTGAGCAATTCAATTAGGAGTTTTCAGTTATATGAAACCTTTTTGTCATATTTGTTCAACCAGTCATTAAGCCTAAATAGTTGTACTTGATAAATATAACCTTTAAAATTTTTTTTTTTAAATCAGCCATCTATGGCCGCATCTTGAACCATTTTGATTTTCAAGAAACCACTGCACATGAGGCAAACCAACCAATATGAGACAGAAGGCATGACTTTTGAGGTACTCGTCAAGAGTTGCGCATTCACAGAATGATAACTTTTCATGTAATACGCCATAACAACAAATATGCTTTTCTGGGGTAACCCGTAACAGGTCAGCACAAACTGATTTTATGTGAAATCTCATCATTTCCTGCAGCACATCTGATGACCTTTCACACCACACTAATGTGGTTAAGACCCACTGAAATATGCTCCAAGGTGCCAAATCACATAAAAGCAAATTTTATGTGACAGTAATCTGAGCGTGATAATGATTCTATACATGTGAATTGACCTGCATCCTTTCTACGAAGCGGAGGAGGTGGCCCATATTTAGCTCCAACACATGAGGGCTACAAATTCTCATCTATTCTTGGCCCGCCCGGTCTCTGGTCTCCATGGGCTTGCCACAGTGTGGATATCATAACAGGGGAGGTTTAAGTGGATGATAGAGCAGCGTCCGCACATTTCAGCACATGACTTTTGTGTGGGCTCCTCTGTATTAGTAAAGCTGTTAAGGTCAGATTAATCCCCAACATGGGTTGATCTCAAGCCGCTTCTCTATTTTTCTCCCAGGGCGATAATTGGGAGTGATGTGAAGTGGCCACTCGTGGTGATTTGAAGCCATTTTCACCTTAGACCTGAATTACATAACCAATGTGTTCATCATTTTAATAGCCCCGCAATAAAGAGTGCCTAGCTGGCAGAGTTTATGACATGCAACAATTAAAAACGGAAATGCAATATAAAAAAAGCCAAACAATTTATAGGCCCAATGATTGAGGTTCTCTGGTATAATCTTACTTATGATACATCCGAGGTGACTTTATAGTCAGTGGACTTGCTCGAGTTAAAACACAGTTTGGATTTTGACCAAATACGGGCCTGTAAAGTTGCGCGTAAAACCTCAGCTGTCAAGATTTCGGTTAATCAAAGGATGTTTGGCTTTCTACTGCCTGTTTTTATCAGCACGGGTTGTTAAGAGAACAATGTGAGTAGAAGAAGAAAATAAACCCGTAACCTGACATCTCACTCGAGCGTCACCATACGCTGAATCATTTTTCAAGTATTTTTCCATCCATCCATCCATTTTCTGAACCGCTTTATCCTCACAAGGGTCGCGGGGCGTGCTGGAGCATATTCCAGCTGTCTTCGGGCAGTAGGTGGGGGACACCCTGAACTGGTTGCTAGCCAATCGTAGGGCACACAGAGACGAACAACCATCCAGGCTCACACTCACACCAAGAGACAATTTAGAGTGTTCACTCAGCTTGCCAATGCATGTTTATGGAATGTGGGAGGAAACCGGAATACCCGGAGAAAACCCAGGCAGGCCCGGGGATTACATGCAAACTCCACACAGGGAGGCCGGAGCTGGGGTCGAACCCACGACCTCTGCACCGTGAGGTCGACGCGCTAACCACTGGACAGCTTCAAGTATTTTTAAAGTGTTTAATTTCATTCTCATACAGTAATAATACACACTGGATGACTGCTTGTATAGATGCTAATGTTTCTTTTCAGAGCTGTGTAGCGGGTTCGGACAAACTGCACACACAAAATCATTAGTTTACATCATGCATCATGCTTGATTGCTAATTTATCGATGAATCAATTTTGAGTGTTCAATTAACCTACTATAAATGCTTTTGGAACGTGGGAGGAAATCGGAGTACCCAGAGAAAACCCACGCAGGGATGGGAAGAGCATGAAAACTCCACATAGGAAGGCCAGAGCCCGGAATTGGACCCAAAACCTTTGCACTGCAGGCGGACATGCTAACCTATTGACGATGTCACGGATAAAATTGCCAGTCAGGGTACATTTTACATCATATGGTTCAGGCTTTTGCAATAACGCTCTAGTTATCTTGTTACATAATTTGATTTCAGTTTTCCAAAGAAATGATTGATTTTCGTGAAACAGTTTTCAAGGCAAAAATACCCTCTGTTACTGTTATTATTCCAACTGTCTGACAGATGAATCTTATTTGACTGTTATTAATGCTTTTTTTAATCATGTTATCAAGTTTTTATATGCTGTCACTTGGTTTCGTGTACAAATTAATTAGTAAATTAGACATTTCTTTTTAAAAAATTACATGGACGTTATGGAACATATTTATGTGCACTCTATGTAAATTAATCGTGGGTTTTTGAAATAAAAACGAGAATAAGAAAATCTTTATTCGTCTCACAATGGAGAAATTCCCAATTTACAGCTGCAACGTTATGAAAGGATGAAAGTAGAAGAACAAAAAGTATAGGAGCTGCTGTATAGGCAGCCACTCTCGCGGCACCATCGTGAGCAGTGAAAAATCAACAATATTTTACACACTTTCCCTTAACCCTTTCAGGGACAGCGGTTACTACAGTGGACAACTGATCATCTTATCAGGTTACAGAGCGCATGAAAGGGTTAAAGTAAGTATTAACATGCAGTAGATTGGAGTGCTATAGTTGTGGTTGATGATACCAAAACAACTCAACCAAATGCTAGCAATCAGACCCATTTATTAAACTAACCCATAAAAAATAAAACAAAACAAAAAAACACATCACCACTGAAAAGACAACAAACTAACTAGTTTAGCTTTCATAGTCGAAGCTAATCGAAAGCTAGTTATTGACCATCTGGTTTTGTGACCACAATCTGAAGTCATGCGCCGAAAATAACATTTCCTCCGCAACTGACACAACATTAGTGAACAGAGAAAGACTGACATAAAACGATGTGGAAAACCGAGTCATCCTAAGTCTGGGAATAAATGGTGAAACCACATATGAGCTAAATGTGCTTCAAGCTGGGCCATGCTGCAATCATAAAAAAACATACACCTTACATGACACTACAGTAGCTACCGGAAGTATTATATTCTGAACACTATACAGGATGTGCCCTGCGACTGAGAGGCAAGTGCAACCAGTCCAGTCAGTTAGGCCCCTGCTAGCTATGACACCGAACAGCCTAAGCACTATAGAAAATGGATATTCTCAACTCAACACATTTTGTGTGGACAGATCACGTGGCCATCTGTGTCCAAGCCCTTGCTTTTTAACAGACCCACAACAACTCGTGTGAAGTGTTGCCACCTCTACAATGCAAAAGTTTCAGCTGCGGCATACAAGGTCACAGAGTTCAAAACTGAGGGTGACTGGAGGGCACATGAGCCCACATGCCCTTGGGCCGGCTTGGAGTGACTGCAGCCCTTGCACATAGTATACATATCAGTTTGTGGGGAAACACATACGTACGGGCTGCGTGCTAGCTTAGGGCATGGATAACCACCGAGAACGGCGTGACGATCTTTGCACACACACACACACACACACACACACACACACACACACCCACACACAGACACACACACACACACACACACACCAAAAAAATTACAGCAAATACTGGAATAAGGCCTTCATGGACAAAATCACAACAAATTTCAGTGCTACATACGAAGGTTATATTCAAAGATGGGCCACAGTGACGGATGCATCCCCGTGATTCATTAATAACACATCTGCGTCCAAGGTACGGCTGAGGGTTGAAGGGACAGTTCAACTGGCCAGCTTCTGACATTGTATCATCGGTGAAAAAGATGAAAAAGAGTTTAAATGAGCTTCTCTGATTGAGTTGTTTTAATGTTATAATGGATTTTACAACTAATTCTTGAAGAACAGTCAAATATCTAACGAGGCAAAATCCAGTAAATATTAAACTCCGAGCGAAGCCTGTTCACATTCTGAGGCGCACTAAAAATGAAAACAAAACGATTGCAGCCAATTGATTCTTATTTAACAATATGAGCGCCTCAGCAGTCAAAAGCAAACTTGGCGGCACGTGGCATTCCTCAGGGCTCCGTCTTTGTCCAGTTGCGTTCACTGTATACTGTATTTCTTGCTTACCTCGACACACCATTCTCCATTTTAGTCACACAAGTGACAAACTGACGATGTGCTGTTTAGTACCGATTTTAATGGCACTGGATTCTTTACAAAATTGCCTCCATTTAATTAAAGGCTGGATGTCCTCCAACTTCCGAACACCGACACTGACAAGAACAAAATCTGATACCTGCTCCAAAACCAGATTTCAGCTTACATTGCCACTCCTCATCTTGAATTAATGATGAATGCCAAACTGCAAAGGAGTAACCTATTTTTCGATCTGAACTTCAGCAAACATTTTGACAGTCTAAGTCACAGGTGTGAAACTCGAGGCCCGGGGGCCAGATCTGGCCTGCCGCATCATTTTATGTGGCCAGTGAAAGCAGCTCAAACATGATCCTTTCTAAAATGTCAACCAATATTTTTAATTCTCATACGTAATAAATAAGAGATATATTCTCAGCACTTTTTGTTATCAAACCCCTCAATAACTCAAGAGTTATTCTTGATTTCTTTGTATGTTTCTTGATCAGTCTAAGTCTTAGACTCTAAGTGATACCCGTTATTCCATCTAAGAATTTTTTTAACATCCAACGACCAATGATTTCTCCTGATTATTGTAACTCACCAGCTGCCGTCATAAAACAAATGGGGACTTGTGGTTCTCGACGGACATTTCGGAACAGACTCACCCACATATATATTTTAAACACAACTGTACAGACAAGTGGATTAAAAAAGTGATTGCCGTGAAAAACCTTGTGGCTTATCTTTTTCAAATGTTCTGTAGCAATAAGCTATTACAGTGGCAGTCAACCCTGAAACTAAATTGCGCACATCTTTGTTGATACAAACATGAGAGAGCGCAAATTGCATGATTGATAACATTCTTCTCAAATGAAAGATTGATTACACCCATCCCTGGTTTGTAAGCCGCATGCGTACACCTCTTGAGAATTTGTCTTTCAACAAGGTTTGCAGGTCACACACAATAAGTGTTTCACGTGGATCACCATCATGTCAACAAAGTCGTTCTTGTTCTCCGGTTTGCATTGATCTAAAGGTGTCACAATCTAAAGATAAATCAGACGCTTGCGGCCGCCCGGCAACAGCGCCCGCTCTTTGCTGTGACAAAGAATGCATCAGCTGACAAGCCTCCGATCGGGTGACGGCATGTCAAACGTATGTGCGGACGTGCATGTTATGACAGTCAACTGTTTAGGTTTGAGAATGGCCATCAAACAGCGACCTCAAAGAGTCTTGAATCAGGTTGGAGCGGAACACATTTGCAGTTATGTGCACCCTGCATGTGCTTAGCATTTACGCGGGACTGGTCCTGCACTACCACACCTTTGCGAAATTATAACATCCACAAAGCATGAAGGAAGGACAGCGATAAAATGAGAAGAACTATTTGGCAGGGAGAAAATATGACTCTCTGCGAGTTATATGCAAGAGCCCCGGCCAATGAAATACGACTCTTCCCGACTCCTCACACACGGATCTATTCTGAAGTCACTCTTACGAGGACGTCCCAGTTCACCTCTAGCTCCTGGCAAGGGGTGAGGAGCAGGAAGGGAGGACTATATATTACTTTGTCACGCTGATGTCATATCGACGCTCTAAAAGCGTCGTTGTTGGCAGGACGAGCGCATTGAAGTGAATGAGAACAATACTAAACTGAAAGTTAGTACGCCTCCAAGAGCATGCATGAAACTGATCCTAAATAAAAAACGGTGGAAAGGAACCTCTGAAGTTGAACAACCCCAATTTGGACGATCGAATAGCATTTTAGTGGAAAGCGTGCAAAGGTTGTTTTGTGATTTTTCACACTTGAACTTCAATCGTTTTTTTTTTTTTTAAATGAAAGTCAACACTGTTGACCTCCAAAACCTTTGATGATGTTTAAGGATTTCAGTCCCAATAGTGACAGTTGTTCTTTTTTTTTTTATAGTTGTATGACAGTTTAGAACATAGCGGTTTTACTTCAACGTTGCCTTTACGGTTTACGCTTTTATGATTGTTTCGATTGCCCGGGAAATATGAATGACATTGATAACCAAATTAGACCAGCGTCTCAGAACAAATTGTTTCCGACCTTATACATGCCACCGTAAAATCGAGAACTAATACAATTACGTAACAACCTCCTGCTTGCATATCACCGTCAGAGACACGAAGAGGACGGCGATGTACCATACACCCAAATAATGTTCCTTCTGTGCATGCACCACTCATGTGAATGTTCCAAGTGGAAAAGTTTACATTGCATTTACGCATGTGTTCGGGCCCCGTGAGACCTCATAAGACCTCATGTGTTTGCTCCAACCCTATGTTACATAACATATTTCACATGCGGCAACGACCATAGTCAACATCGTCATCGGGGAGAAAACATTTTCGATAGTTGAAACTGCTTGATACTTAAAATAGGGCAAATTTATTGCTCCAAATGCATGACACTGCCTGCGCTTGAGCAATTAAGTGTATCGAGAGGAAGCATACCGATGACCATTTCGTTGTCTTAATTGCAAACCTTGTGCATCCTGGCTGACTGGAACATTTATGTGTACGTCACGAACTAAAAACTTTGAACTTGATTCTGTAATAAGCGGGCATCTGTGTGTATGGGAAGTGTTCACAGACAGCGAGCAAACAAGTGCAATCGCTAGCAGGGTCAAAGTCTGCATTCAGTCAACTTCAAAAGAAACTCTAATCTAATCTGAAATTTTACCGTGGTACAAAAACACACAGATAGTGGCGACAACGAGCCAGCAGTCGCTTTGCGCAAACCAACACAAATCGTGTTTGACAATGGGCTTTTCCCTCCTATCCACGGTCAACATTTAGTCTCCTGAATCGACATATGCTGTTCCAATGTAAAGACTTTCTGCTGCTTGTCAAACAATAACATGATTCCGAGTCGTCTAATCTTCTTTATTAAGAGTCTTTGCGTGTAAATTGTCTGGTGCGAAAACTGGGCCAAGCCAAATCACGAGTGACTTACTGCAGTGAGGCTTGACGGGACAAGCCTCATGTAACAACAACAACAACAAAACTATACTGATTATTATGATGATTATTGTGTGCAATGGCACAGTGATTTTGAATTAAGAGTGAAATGGTGGTAATGGTAATCAAATATGACATCACAACAACATGCAAAGCACTTTGTTATTCTTTAGATCAAGGATGTCAAACTCGTTTTTGTCGCGGGCCACTTTCGAATTCCGTCTTCCCTCGGAGGGCCATTATGACACAACAAATTAATGGATTACTATCTTTGAAATTGGTCCAAAGTACCTTGAAGACCAGAAATGAACTTAGTGTGCCACTATTTTTGGGACCCGATGTAAATAATAACATGATTTTCCTCACCTCCATCCACAACCAGGCCATGTGCACGCAAAAGGCTTTTCTCCAGTGTGCCTCCTCAGATGCGCTTTAAGGTGGCTGCTTTTGGTGTACATCTTATTACAGCCCGGAAAAGAGCACTTGTGCATTTTAATAAGGTCTGCCACTGCACTCTTCTGGTACCTCTGACCTCCAGCGAGGACCCCTGCGGTTGAGCCGCTACCTAACCCGCCTTCTCCGAGCCCGGTGGGTTTGGCAGCTATGGGCACTGGTGCGATCCGAACAAATTTGGAGGAATTTTTGTTTGCAAATGCAATGCTTGCTGGGGAGAGCAGCTGAGGCACCAAGGCAAAGGTTTGGCCCTGGATGTTGACCAGGAGCTGGGCAATCTTGATATCCGATGGACCCTGCGTCGGTTGAGATTTCTGCAAATGAGTTTCTTGCATTTGAGCATCGGAGACGGTGCAGGCTTGAGGCTCTTGTTTGATCTGGACGGGCTGAATTTGTAAGATAACCGGCACGTTGGAAGCAGCACCTGTGTTTTCTCCTGAGGCTGACGGTGATCCACAGTCTTCCTGTTTGATTCCATCGACTTCACTGTAACTGGAGCTCAAATTTATCGAGCTTGCATCGACTGTTGATGTATTTAGTGTTTGTTTGTTCTCTCTGTGGGAGGACAGCGGAGAATGGGCCACGGGTACAGTCTGATCTGAGTTCTGCGAGACCTCTCGGGGTATCGTTTTGGCCCTTTCGGCCTCAGAGAACTCTGGCGTCGGCGACATTGCCTCATCGCTTCCCTCGTCTTCCTTCTCCATCGCTACCACCATGTTCTCTTCCAGGAACTCTTCAATCTCTTCCAGAGTGGGCTGAAAGAGGAGCGCCGCAGGATCCTGTAGCTCATCCAGGAAAATCGGGAACTCGCAATAGTTCTCTTTGGCTTGGTGCTGGAGCAGACCCAACCGCTGGTCCCTCTTTGACTCCCAAGCGAGGCCCATGGGCAAAAGTGGGGTGGTGGAAGATGAAGAAGGTGGGGAGGAGAGCAAGGTGCTGTTGCCGATGTTGGAGCTTATCGAGTTGTTCATTCCCTGCGTGAGAAGGAGGTCCAGCAGGCTGTCTTGACTCTCGCCTCCAGAAGAGCTTCTGCTCTCATAGCTGGAGCTCGCGTGGGCGTGGGATTTGGGCGACGAGGCATCTGGGCTGGAGCAGAGCGACGATCGAGGGCTTGAGGAGATGCTGAGGTCGTCCTCAGAGAGCCCCGGTGAAGAGGACACCCCTTGGTAAGGGTGGTAGACGCAGGCGTCGGTCACCATGATGGCTCGGGACAGCCCTTCGCTGGCATCGCAACGGAGGCTGTCGTGTTCACACTCCGATAAGCTAGTACAGTACAGGAAGGTCTCTTCACCAAGCGGTAAGTGATCCACCATTCCTGTGAGGATGAATGGCAGCTGGACTCTGCTCTGCACTCAAGATCAAGTTTGGAGACTTGGCTAAATATTAATGAAAATGTATTTCATCCTCCTGTGGAAGACAAAACGACGGGAATCGTCAGTGACAGCAAGAAAATCCTCCTTGAAAACACAGATTTATAAGAAAACACATGTCGCCATCGACTAAAAAGTTGAATGGGAGTTGCTTGAAATGCTCCTTTGGAACGAATTCTAACGGACTGAATGTAGCATCACTCTCTTTGGCAACTTCAACTTTGAGGTTAATGTTCTACAAGGGTCCTCCTGCAAGTGTCACAGAAATGTGGAATCCAGCGGACCGAGAGACTGAACAAGTTTGGCCTCTCGGTGCGTTGCCTGTATGAAAGAAGTTCAGTGTGTGTATGTGTATAGCAGCTGGTGTGGCGTACACTGACCATGTGGAATCAGACGTTCCCATTTCCCAGCTGCTATGAGTGAGGGAGCCACATGTCTTCAGGAAAAAAAAAGGGGCTACAGAAGAGATGGCATCTATTTCATCTTTGCTACGTTTTCATGGCATTCATCTGAAGTAAAGTGCAAATAGACATGATTTTCATTGTTGCTAAACATTCCAGTGCCCTTTAAATAGAAGCATGACGGTTTTATGATGGCTGCAATAAAAAATTGCCAATCTAGGGCGAGTTGAAATAAACAGGATTGCGCGCCATCTAGTGTCCGGTGAGCAAATCACGTTTTCCAAAGGAAAATACAGTAAATGAGTGCTCTTAAAATGTGGGTTTGACGCGTTTAACAATGATCACGGAGAGTATATTAGGAATTCTAATCATATTTGCATTACGTGGCTGTTATACTTCGCGAAAGATACCCTTATTTACTTTATAAAAGAAGGCAAACTTTGACTTTTTATTCTGTTAATTGGGGAAAATGATACGAATGTTTTGTTCGAAATCGAGTCCAAAAAGAAAAGAAAAGGAAAACAACACGAATCGGCCGATGTATGCATGTAGCTTGGCAGAGTGTGGAGTAATTTGCCCGATAGTAACCTCTGCCTTGCCGAAGCTGGATTGAAACTGCAGATATGCATGGCACAAAACAAAAACAGTGCAGCCCGGGCCCGCTTTTGACATTTTCACGCAGTGTCGTCAAAGATCCTCGCTGCGTTCGTGAAGTTGTGTTTCGTCTAAGTGTATTTCTTCAAGTGCGCCAAACCAATATCTGTCGTACACGATACACTGCACGATGCGTGTATATGCGAGTGGATTCTCTCACCTGTGCGTGTGAAGGACACGGTTTTAACTCTCCCGATTTCAACGCGCTCTCCTCTTCCGAATCTTCCTACGTGCGTAGTGGAGAGATCAATCCGCTGGTGTCTGCATGGTGCATTACCCTCAACGTTCTCTCTCTCTCTCTCTCTCTCTCTCTCTCTCTCTCTCTCTCTCTCTCCCTCTCTCACAAACACACAAATGTACACGCATGCACACATATGCTTACGATCGCTCTCTCTCGCTTTCCCATTGGGCAGTGCAGTTTAGTCACATGATCTCTTCTGGCAGTGTTGTGGGTTTGGCTTGTGAGGGCTCGCCTGCTCCGTGCCTCGTCATTGGTTATTTTGCTTGTAAAAAGGAGGCCGGCGTGAGGGAATGGCGTCAATGGAGAGAGTGGCTGAGGCTAGGTCATGTGCAGAACACAAACATGAACCTGACACTTTCTGTTGTTGTTGTTTTGTTCTCATTTGTATTAAAAAAAACACACACACACACACACACACACACACACACACACACACACACACACACACACACACACACAAACACTTTTTCTGTACAATGACTTGATCTCAATTCCCATTTGGGTCCAGATGACACGAATGGAGGGAATTTAAAGTATTTGCCTGAAATACATTTTGGAAAAGTTGGCTAGGGCAAAGGAGGACTGCAAATGATGTTGTAATATTGACAGGGACTAGAAATGTATTTTGGAATTAGGCTACTGTGACTTTCCCAGCGGTGGATGACATAGTTAGAAATTCAGTCCTTTCACACATGGTATACAGAAGATGAACACCCGGGAAGCGGACTGGTGTCGGGTCATTTGGTACCGGGCCGCGCAGAAAGAATAAAGAATTTACATTACTTCCTTTTTTTTAATTTCGGAATCTGGTTGGTGTTTTGTTTTGAAACATTACCGGATTCTCTGTTACATCTGTCGACAGTGTGTGACTCTTGACGTCGGTCAACGCGCGCTTCTCGGTCAGTGATTGATTACCGCTGAAATGAAACCCAGGAGCTAGCAAAATGAGTAAAAAAAAAAAAAATAAACGTCTTTGGAAAGTTTCTATGGGAAGGGGAAAAGACCCAGCCAAGAGACAGAAGAGGAGCCTATGACTTTCAAGAAAAAGAAAACTACGTTTTATAGACAGTTTCAGGAGTCCTACTTAAAATACGGATTTATCGCAACGGGAGATTCCAATGCACCAAGCATAATATGCGGCGATGGTGAGTCGTATTTTTCATGCGCTTTGTATTTGTTTGTTACAGTTAAAGTTTCAGCAGAAGATTGGAAGCTGTTGTAGCTCTTGGTAGCATCAAACTGAGGGCCAAAAAAAACAAAAAAAAAAAACAATGCGAATGCCCAGCATTAGCAGAAGGACATAGTCAAAACCCCAAGATCACACTCAGTAGCATATGAGCGAGTCAGCGATTCACCAGACGAGTGAGTTTGTTTCCATGTTGCCTAACGACATCAGTCATAAAACTTTTGCTTCAACTGCAAATGAGCAGACCTCAGCAAAACACCTGAGGTAACATCACTGGCTTCTAATTAGTTGAAATTGCTGCCACAATTTAAATGATGTGAGCAGTGAGCTTGGGTGCTTTTTTGTTTAGCCTGCTTGCAGACATCACAAGTGATTTTTTTGGGGGGGGGGATTTTTGTGTGCACCAAGCGGAGTCACATGTATGCTCACGCTGGCACACTGAGAAGCTCTGTTTGACGAGCAGATGCTGCGGTTTGTAGACATGTCAACTACTGCTGCAACCGTGTCCACAGGGCTCCTATCAGTGGTGGGAAGTCATGTACGAATACTTTGTTACTGTACCATGAAGTCGAGTTTTCAGATATCTGTACGTTACTCGAGGATTTATTTTTCTGCCCACTTTTTACTTTTACTCAGTATATTCCCCATCAATGACCTTATTGATGTTGTTGGCTCCAAGAATGAGTCAATGTGAATATGTTATGACTTGTGCAAACCTGAAAAAAATAAAACAAAAACAGTGTCTGGCATTCAAACATGTACCATCTGATCTGAAAAACACTTTTGGGAAACACTTTTTTTCCCAGTTGTTATCATTAGCTAATTGAGAGTTTTTTTGTTAATCAGTTGGGCGACCCGGTGATCCAGTGGTTAGCGAGTTGACCTCACAGTGCAGAGGTACCGGGTTCGATTCCAGCTCTGGCCTCACTGTGTGGAGTTTGCATGTTCTCCCCGAGCCTGCGTGGGTTTTTTACAGGTACAGTCAAACCTCGGTTTTCGTCCATAATCTGTTCCAGAAGACTGTTCGAAAACCTAATTGTTCGAAAGCCGAAACCATGCTCTTTTTAAAATAAAAATGTTTATTGAACACGTCTGCTCACAATGGCAAGCAACACGAAGCGTCACTTCCTTGTGTAAGGAGGGCGAGAGGAGTCAAATGGTGCATTCAAGTGCACTCAGTTTGTTCAAGAACCGAAATTTGTTCGTCATCCGAAGCATAAAAAACTCAAAATTTTTGGTCGAGAACCGAGACGTTTGAAAACCGAGGTTTGACTGTACTCCGGTTTCTTCCCACATTCCAAAAACATGCATGGCAGGCTTATTGAATACTCTAAATTGTCCCGAGGTGTGATTGTGAGCGCGGATGGTTGTTCATCTCTGTGTGCCCTGCGGGCCACATAAAATGATGTGGTGGGGGGGGGGGGGGGGGGGGCTGTCCCCTCCGCT